GTCCCGGCGGCCCCGCCAGGCCCTGCCGTCCCCAGAGCAAACCTCCGGCAGCTTTACAAACTGAGGGCTTCAGCCTCCGAAACTACCGCAGAGAGGCGTTCGGTAGCAGTGAAAAGTCTGAAGCAGGAAAGGGCAGTGTGACCTAATGACTGAGATTTAAAACCCACAAGCCTGTGGTGATGCGCAGCATGAGCCCTGCACAACCTGCTCGTAGATAAATCGAGAGGAAGAAGTCCAAATTAGGCTTGGGAAGTAAAATGTGTGAAGGAAAATGTGTGAAGGAATCCTGGCAGCTGCGGGGATGTGGATTCCTGAGGGAATGGGAGGGCAGGAGCAGAGCAGGGCCTGGCCCTCAGCAGTGGCACCGGCCTCAGCTGCTGGCTCTGCCAGCGCTTCATTTACAGAGCCCAAACCCACAGCAGTGGCACCTCAGCTGCTGGCTCTGGCATAGCATCATTTACAGAGCCCAAACCCACAGCAGTGGCACCTCAGCTGCTGCTCCTGCCAAAGCTTCATTTACAGAGCCCATACCCTGCCCGACAGACACAAACACACACTGAGGCTGGATAGCTGAGGGTGCTGCAGGACACGGGCAGAGAACCTTGGCAGTGAAGGAAATTTTGTAGCACCAGGTGCGTGTGCAGTTCATTTGTTCTGTTTTCTAGCGGGGAAAGTGAAGCACGTGCTGATTTCACACTTTGCAGAGTTACAGTGTGAAACAGCCAACAGCAGTTCCTATTGCAGAAACAAACCCCCTGGAGGTCAGTGCTGTGGTCTCAGTGAAGAATGCCAGTTCTCACTTTTATTATCACGAGGACAGACAAAAAAATAATTAAAGATGAGGGCAAACAAAAGACACATGACCTCTCCAAACACTATCAAAAATTTTAACAGCTTTGATTTAGAGACTGCCTCACTGATGTGACCAGCTCCATGGTTACCTTGTTACAAGGGGAAAGTTTTCCAACCTTATTAAAAAATAATCAAATATTCACAACCAGAGTTAGATGAAGGAAGCAATTGCAAAAATTTGTTGCAATTGTCATTTCACTTGTCCTCTTTTTTGCATTGTTATTTGTACTTTTAGAATTTGGCAGGAAGCTTCATCTTCTTTTCAGTCCACCTAAAACAATATAATTATTACAAATCAGACTCCACATTCCAAAGATGAACTGAGTTGGCTTAGTTTTTAGTGCCACCGATGGGCATATGTACACACAGTCAAAATGATCCTCTGAAAAATACATTTTGCTGAAGATTTCAAGTCTTCATGTCCAAGTAATGCACAGGAAATGTGTTTGGAAGGGTGCACAGCCAAGGGAAAGATGAACAATTAGCAGGATTCCCTTAGAAGCTGGAGTTTGTGGTTTGTGCCTTCTCCAGGGGACAGTACAAATCTAATGGGGACTCCAATGGTTTAATTACAGTTAAATACCACACATTTAAGCTATTAAGAATGTGTGTTGCTGTTGAAAAATAAAGATGTGGCTTTTAACATAGATTCTTGCCAATTTAGTTAAATTTTGGAGGTCTGTATAAAAGTTTGTTTCATAGCAATTTATTTTCCATTAAGGGATTTTCAGGTGTAGTTACAGGCAAAATGTACACTGTGAAAGCCCAGGTGATGTACACATTGGGAGCAAGTCAAATGGTGTTTTCTGCTTTAAATTTCTGCTGGATCTCTGTTCTTTATGTCCAGCTGGAGAGTCTGTGACAATATCCAGTGTCACATGGGGAGATCTGTGGAAACAACACTGTTTAACACTGAATTTATCAAACCTCATTTTTGTTAACATTTCTGTCCTAGGTTATCTCTACCTGCAGGACAGAACTTGTGCTGCTTTCTTGCCTCATGAAAACACACAGGTGGCACCATGGTGTCCCTTTTGGTACAGAAGATGGGAGTTAGCAGTGAACCCTTCCCTTTCCAGCTCCCTTGATCCAGGATGGTTAAATAGAAGTTCACTCTTTGTATCAGTCTTTGCTCTGTATGTCACACCATTTTTGGGGGCCAGGGTAACACTGGCTGTGCAATTGGAAAGATGGACATTTTGAAAGTCACTGGCTGTTCGATCTAACAGCTCACCTACAGTGTCTGCTTTGCATCTGCAATGCTCATCTTTCAGGTGGGATGGAAATCTTGTTTTATATATTGTTTTATATATTGCATCCTCTTTGCACACTCCATTATCTTCAGTGTAGGAGCAAGGGGATTTCTTTTTTATTGTTCTTTTATAGACATTTTCTTCACAAATATTACTCTCCAGGAAGTATCTCCTTCTGTTACCTATTTGCACATTACTGCCTTGTGGATAACCACCACTTTCACTGAAACTGTCTGGTTTTATTTGAAGGTCAGACCTATGAGCATGGAGTGGGTTGTTTTGCTTGGCTTGGCCAGCCTCACTTTCTGCCCCCAGCCTTTCAGGTTCACAGCCAAAGGGTCCTGAGGGCTGTGGCCTTTGGGAAGCCCTTCCTTGGTTGTGAGTCTGGCACTGGAGCTGGCTGTTGGCACCACCCTGGTGCCCCCTGGCAGGAAAGCTGCGAGCTCTCCATGGCAGACCCTGGAAAGGATTCTTAATCTGCCTCTTGTAGATCCCCTGGGATTGCACTGCTGCAGCAGGTGGCTCCTGGGGTTTGTTGGGCAGGGAAAATCTCTCTGCCAGTTGCACATTGTGGGATGTTACCTTCTGTCTGTGACATTTCCTGCTCATCTGCTTTTCCCTCTTTGATCTGGTTTTCCTGGTGTGTTTTGCTGTTTTACTTGGTGCCCTTTGAATACAATCCTTTGAGAGATGGTTTTGCCTGAGTGCTGGCACTTCAGCCAAGGTACCATTACTGATGTATTTTTTCTCTTCACTGCTGCCTTTTTTCTGCTCCTCAAACTTCTGCATTAATATTGTGTGTTTAATCAAATTATCCACGGTAAGAGTGGGGTTAATTCGCTTGATGATTTCATGTTCAATATCACGTGGAATGTTGTCCAGGTCATCTTCATCCCTGACTGGCCACTCCTGGGGAGGAAACTGGCCTGAGAAAGTGGAGTACTCCTTCTTGTGTTTTTCTTGCTTAGAACCACTTCTCCAGACGTGGCCAAGGCCAAACATTTTGCTTTTCAGTTTTGCTTTCACAGATGTCAGGGATTTGATGGTGTCCCAGGAATGGTTCTCAGCAGATGTGGAGATGACTTGAGTTGGAACTGAAGCCTTCAATTCACTGCAGCCTGTCTGTCCCTCTGCAATAGATCCATGGCTCCTCACCTGCTCTTGCCTTTGCTCACAGAGCTGATTTTGATCAGGGAAGCAATGGCAGGATCTGTAACAGGGTTCTCTAGGAGTGCTTTCTTTCACTAGGTCTGCACAGCCCCTCATGTTTACCAGGTCAGTGATGGAAGGGGATGAACAGCAACAGCTGTCCTCCAGCAGGATCCTTCTGTTGTCTTCTGTGGCACCATTTGTGATCAAGTAAGTGTTGGGAGTCACAATGAAATATCCTTCTCCTGTGTGATAGATTTTTCTTTCCTTAATTAGAGTGCCAAGGATATTATATAATGCATTGTGGGAGGGCGCTGCAATGCCTAGAACAAAGAGACAGATACTTCAAATCAGAAACAAGTTTTCAAATAAAATGGATGCTGGCTAAAAGATCTCTCTTGTACAACAGCCCTAAAATAATCTGAAAATGAAATTGTAAAGCATTTAGCTGTGTTGCCACTGCAGCACCTCTGTGAGGGAGCAAGGATGTTGTCTTTGTGTCTGTCAGAACATGATATTCATGAGAGAGACTTTCTGCCAGGTACAAAGCAAACAACCTCTTGTTCAAAGCATTTCCCTCCTGGCATGTTATTTAACATGGCTTTCATCACACTCTGAAGTTTCTGGTGTAGTTTGGTCAGATGTCAGTTTATTACCTCACTGAGACTGGGCTCAGCTGCAGTTTTCCATCAGGTCTCTCAGAGTCCTTAGTCTGGTCACAGCTGACCTCCTGCCCACCAAATTCAGAACTTCCAGCAAGGTGAAAACACAGCAAAAATACCTCCAGACCCTACAAACTTTGAGAATGCTACTTCTGGCTGACCTACACATTCTGCCTTGTGGTTATCACAGTGCAACACACTCCTGGCATGGTTCTGTGCCACTCTGTGGGGTTGCATTAATATTTTTCCCACTGGTTAAAATGCCCACCAGATCAGCCTGTAACATTCACAGAGGTGTAATATTAAGATAGTTCAAAAGAAGCAGCTCAGTATCAAACAAAGCAGCCTCCTGAGAAGGCCAGAATGAGCCTGTTCAAAGTCTCCATCACAATAACACTTTGATATTGCACATTTAAGGGAAATGGGATATTTCTCAGATATTAAGGGAAGTGGCTGCCACCCCCTCAGAATCACAGAATATTCTGAGTTGGAAGGGACCACAAGGATCATCAAGCCCAGCTCTTAAGTGACTGGTCTGTATAGGAATCAAATGCACAACCTTGGCATTATTTGCACCATGCTCCAACCAGTTGGGCTAGAAGTGAAGAACTAAAGATCACTTAGTGTAAGTAATTTCCTCTCAGGAAGGAAAGAGTTAGAATACAACCAACAAACCTGAATTTGAGGCTGGTTATAGTTTTTGATAGCTAACACCAGATGTAGACTCCTACCCAGTCCCTTGGCAAAGTCAGCTGTGTTCCTGGCTCTTAAAGGCAGTCTCTGTGATCTAAGAGTCTATTTTATGCTGTTCCATGTCTAGCACCTAAATGCCACATCTGTGCTTCCCCACCCCCTAAAAGGGCACACTCTTAACTACAGCCAGCTCCCTCAGATTCTCAAAGATTCATTAAATCTGTGGAAAGGACTGCATTCAAGTCAGTGCAGTGACACTCACAGATTGATGAGAAGTTTGCACATTCATTTATCCACCAGTTCCCTGTTCACTCCTCCTTCACCTTGCCAGCTTTGCCTGTGAGCATTCCCTGATCCAACGTCAGAAACTCAAGCTTGATGGTACAGCCACTTTTTTAAAGGAGGGAGAAACAAAGAAGTTACCTGGGTAATTTTTCTGTAACTGCTCCATTAGAGTTTCCTGAGTGACCAGCACATGCTCTGCATTCATGCCTGATATGGTCCAGCATATTCCTTGTGCCAAAGGAACAGAGCCTGGCTGCGAGAGAGGATTCATCAGAGCAGGGCTCACATCACCTGAAAGAAAAGAAAATTTTTTGATTGGAATTGTGCATTTTTTTTTTCTATTAGCTCTGAAAGATTTCCACTGAAAATTTCCCTTATCCCCAGCTAATTTTCTTTGGCAAATTACTCAGAAATATTTGTGAGAGGCGGGAGGTGATGCTAGCACCTTGTCAAGAGCCTTTGCAATGAAGGAAACACAAGGTTGCCTTAAGCACGTTAGTTTGTTTGGTATAAAATTCCAGCCAAAGCCATAATTTGGGTTAATAAACAGGGAGCTGAGAGAGAGAATTATTTCTGATGCCTGCTGATTTTTTAGAAGACTGCTTACACGTTAAACCATGCAGAACCTGCATTTCTCCAAGTAGCTAATGGGGAAAAGGTCAACATCCAATGATCTAAGTACAAAATGCTTTCACCAAGCCAGAACACAAGGAAAAAGATACAAGTATTAGGCTTTGTCCCTTGTCATAAAAATTGAATAGAAATGCACATAAAATTGAATACAAATGGTAAAATGCCACTTTTAGACTGGGTTCTAGAACTAGAGATTATTTAGTAAACTGGGTAGAGAGCAAAAACTCTTATTACAACTGCATGCATTTTTTAGGCTACCTCACTGTCTGTCCTGGTCAGAGACAAAAACATTGTTCTTATTCTGCATGACAAAAGCAGAAGTTTGGAGGGGTCAAAAGTGTGGCCCATCTTCCCCAGTAGCTCTGTAAGCCCAGCCCAGAGGGTTGGGGTCCCTCACCTGAACTCCCCATCCATTAAAACACCCAGATAAACTCTGGGACAGGCCCAGCAGGCACTCCTGACCTGGTACCTGTGTGTGCTGCAGCTGAAATAAGGATTGCCCTGCAGGGACTCACCTCAGGTCCGTGCACACAGTGAGACAGTGACTGCAGACACCTCCTCAGACAAAACAAAAACCAAAACTCCCTTTCTTCTTTTTGCAGTCAGACTGAAGCTCTGTTCCTGCCCAGGTGATGTCCTGTGCTGCCCTGCTCCCTGGCTGTGCCCTCTGCCAGGCAGGCAGACAGCAGGGACTCTGTTTCCTTCACAGGGTAACCCACTGTTAAACACTAACAGGAATCTCCCCAAGTAAAAAGGGACATTTTAGATTAAGCTGTGTTCACGTTTAACTGAACCACCCTTGTCTATTGGATGACAGTGTAACCCAATATTTATCCTCCAGGCAGAGAACTGCAACACAAACACTCCTCTGAGTAAATGTAATGCACAACATTGCTTTGAAGAGCTGAAGTTGCTCTTGACCTTTGTTTTACAACTGCTGCTATATTCAACAAAAAGAGCTCTGAGAAGAAAATCCTGGCACACAGTTTGCCCGGTGGTGTTGCTAGGAAACCCCTTGCAGGTGCAGAAAGCATTGCAAGCTTTCTTTTGCTATGGGAAAGGCCATGAGCATTCAGAAATTACTCCTGTGAATAGTTTGCTGTGGGCACACTGTGCTGCTGCCAACTTGACCATTTGTTCCTGCAGAGCACCAGGCTGCTAAGGAGTAAAATACCAAGTGTAATTAAAATTTGTTCATTATCTTTATAGTTATTATCTTGCTGTTGTTGTGTGTATCTGTTCTGCAGCATCAAATCCCGTGCCTCCACTCAGGGAAGGCTGCTTCAGAATAATATTCAAAGCATTAAACCAAAGCTAGCTTGATACTGAAGGAATTTTTAAAAATCTAAAACCATGTTTGAACACAAGTGTAAAATGTTGCAGAGTCAATAGTGCACAAGTGCTAACAATATAAATATTAGATATCATTCTCTCCTGACTTTGAAATACAATCTGAAATTGTGAAAGCAAGAATTAGATCATTGGTGATATTGATAAGGCCCAGGCAGCACTCCTACAAGTATCTATCAAGTTCTTATGAAAAACTTTGTAGATTTACTTTGCATAGCTAAATAACTGCTGTTGTGCTTCAGTCTCCCAAGTTCATTGGAAATGCTAAAAAGCTGCATCCCTTAGATTTGCACATGGAGAAGATTTATCATCTTGTGCAAGCTGTGCCTCATAGGCCTGATGCAAGATCCCCAGAACACCATTCTCATTAAAGCTCCTTAGTGTCTGCCCTTTTACAGCTCAAAGCCCTCTGCAGAATGCCCTGATCACTTACTCTGCATAAATGTGATGACAATCACCTTCCTGGTGTTTTCATAGTCTCAGGAGGGCCTTGCTCACACCTCTGTGAGGGCACAGCAGTCAAGAACCCAAATTCTCCCCTGCTGGTGTGAATGCAGCAACCCCTGCACCTCCCACCCTCCATCTCTGCAGCTTTTGCAGAGCCACGTGAACTAAAGCAGCTGCCCAGGGCTCTGCTATTCTTATCCTTCAGTTTGTTTTACTATCCATCAGTCTGCTCAAGCTCTGCTCATTACCTGGACACCTAAAACCCAAGAATGCCCTTTTTGGAGCACTTACTGGTCACAGAGTGGGAAATCATCTGTAATGTGAGCATTGGGAACAGAACTCAGCACACAGAAAAGCCTCTGGGGACTCTTGAGTAGCACAAAGTGATTTTTCTTCCATCTCTGTAATGTGAGCATTATCATTTTTCACTGAGTTGTTTAACAGTTGCATCTTCAGGCTATTCACAAAAATTACACACGAGACAAGTTGATCTGGGTGAAACCCAGGCTGATTCTGGGGAATTGAACAGAGAGGCATTTGTTACAACAGCACTCAATTTACTTCTTAGGAGTTCAGGTAAACTGTTTGCAGAACAATAAAGGGCTAGGAGTAAATCTGTTCCAGAAAAAAACCTAAAACATCTGATGGGCAGAGAAGACACAGCATGTGGAAATAGAAGATTGGTATTTCTCTAGCTGGGAGAACCTATCATGGAATGGATTATACAAAAGATGCCACAGATCCTCTGCATGAGAGCCTTGGCTTGTTTGATGTAATTCAGTTTTGCAGAAGATCATAAGCAAGAGCAGTACTGCTGCCAACTGCAAGGCTTCTG